AGTCTGTGCTGTGACTTCTATTTACCTTTCTGCTTTTCATAGTAGTTTATAGTAGTCAACTTCTAGGTGTTTTCAACCTCTTGAAAGGAGCTTGAGAGTAAAGCTAGTTTACTGATGCTGTCTCACCATGATTGAAAAGACACTCACATTCCTTTTAAAGGGGAACCATTAGCATCCCCCAAAAGGCTGATCCCAAACCTTGTTGGTATAGTACCATCTGTCAGAATTCAGAGGCATTTAATTAGAAAGATATGGACAAAAGAAATTAGAATGCTCCCTTCCCAACTAAAAGAATGGATGAAAATTCTAATTGCAGAAAAATTTACTACAGAAGAATTTAACAACTTCAGAAACCAAATGAGCTGAATGGGCAAGGTCAGGTATGAACTTACAAAAGCTTTTATAAAAATTCAGAGCCAGCTGGTAGCTGGTTAGATGGTTAAGCTTGTAGATGGTTAAGGTGACTGGATACATATGGCCAACTGGGTAGTTCGAGTCCCAGACCTGGAAGCTTGAAAGAACATGAAGGGCACATATACATGTGTTCCCAAAATCTGAAGAGGAGAATGGAAGAGAAGGGATTTTGACATGGCCTTCCCTCCTGAGTGTGCTGTCTCATTGCCCTCTCTCTCTGGTGAATACATGTGCCTTATAGCAAAATACATACATACATACATACATACATCAGATAAAACAATAGCACTTTTTACACTTAAAATCTCTATTCACATGCCTACTCTATTTGATTTCCTTTGCAATTCAAGCCCAATAGAGGAATATTAAGGGATTCTCTTTGTAACATGAAAAAAAAAGACAAAAACAAAATATTGTGAATCATTTTTTTTTCTTTCAAATAGTATGAATACTAAAAAATTAATTTCCCTCTGTGTGATGCTCTATACAAATGAGCAATAACTTCCACCTGAGTTTCTACTGGACTCACAGAGTGATAGAGCAATTTAGGTGGTTAGGATGTGAGAAAGGAAGGGAAGACAAAAGTCTATGTGGAAATTTCTTAAATCAACTCACCATGGCTGAGAATATATTTCCCAATCTTCATGATTATAAGGCCTTACCTCTGTTCACCCTAGCCTGATGCCAAGACCTATCCTCCTTGCCTGCACTTGCTACTTGTCATAGGGTACAGTTCTAAGATCTAAGTAGGCTAGCCTTCAACCTCCTTGATCTTCTCAAGACTTACAACAACCTCTATTCTGATGTCTAATTACCATATTTTTATTTTCCCAAACTCTGTAGCCCTAGCCTTTATCAACTATCCTCATTAAAGATGACCAGAATTTAGACAATTTTATTATCCAAAAATGTATACAAATTTCATGTAGGATGGACTCAAAACTGGATTAGACTGCCTTCCTCAAAACTTTTCAAATTCAAACTTCTATTGGGTTGTTGGAAAAGTCACCACACATTTTTACATGGAAAAATATGTCATGACTTTTCTGACAATCCAATAGTGACTGGAACAAGAAAATAAGTCAATGAACATTTTCCATGGAAATATTGTATTCATGCATGGGGGAGGGGGGATAGGGAGGAGAGAGATTGTCTTAGTGCATTGGATTTCCAGAAAAAAATCTGTGACCAAAAAAAGGTTTAAGAGGTACTTGAGTAACCAAATACAATGAGGTTTTTTTAAGTTTGCTTTATGGCAATCATCACACTCTCCCAGATTAAATTTCACAACACTTCAAGCACCTAGTCTCATACCCGAGTAACAGCATTAACTGCTGGAGGAAACACCTGAGAAAACATAGTTCTGTTTAGGAAAACTGATAGTCAGCATGGCTGCTGGGAGAGGTTCTGCTACTAACTTGACAGATAGAACGGGAAGTCATCTCATCTTCCTAGGCCCCAGTTTCTATATCTCTAAAGTTAGGGTATTGTACTAACTCAGTGTTTCAAACCTGACCTAGAAATCATTGTAAAGTTCTGGGTCCCCGAGCCCAACTGACCACCAATTGAAAGGGATGCACTGGAGTTAGTATGACGGAATCTAGCTTTTTTTTTTTTTTTTTTTTGGAGAGATTTTCACTGTAGGGCGCGTGCGCTCGCCAGACAGACAGAGAGAGACATAGAGACAGAAAGCGAGAAATCACCCCCCAGGGGGGATGGTCACGCCGCAATCCCTTCTCCTCCATTCTCCTCTCGGGATCTTGGGCACACATGCACACGCACCCGGCGTGAGTTTTAAGCCACCGGGTCCGGGCCACGAACCGCGGTTGACGACGTGGGAGTCCAGCGACATAGCCATTACGCTAACTGCTGGTTCCCCCGGAATCTAGCTTTTTAAAGAAGCTTCTCAAGATATTCTGTTATCTGCCAGGTGGAGAAACAATTGCAGCAGGCTCTCTAAGGTCACTTTTATCTTTAAACTGCTGGTTCCCATTGAACTAGTAGTCCCTACTCTTGACAGAATCTGTGTCAGCAGGAAGTGTTAGTCATCAACATGAATATAGCAAAATACTCTGTAAACATAGGTGATTGATATTATGTGGACATGAAATCATTTATTCTGGGTCTATTGCAGTATTAGAAAACCATACACACACACACACACACACACACACACACACACATATCTATATATATTTAATAGGACACTTAATTCTGCTTGACTCTTGACCACCAGTGAATATGGTAAAAAATGAGGGGTCAAAAATTAAGAGGAAAAAATATATTATGTGTCAATGACTTTTAAAGGAATGTATTGAATCCCCATAACAGCTCACTCTGCATTCACTTTATTGCTTGGTTCCTACGTTACAACCTTGAACCACTTGACTTACCACTTGACTCTACCCAGACCTTTTGCTTCTTCATCAGCAAAATGGAGATTAAAAAATACTACTTGCTTGATAAGATCATACTGAGAATTAATCAGTGTAAACCTATGAAACACTTATCAAGATGCTTATCACATTATGAGTACTTAACTGATGGATGGGCAATAGGATAATAATAACTGCTAATACAGGTTATGAGGTCTTGCAATCCAAAGCATCCCCTGTGAGCCAACAGCATCAGGACTAATTACTTTGAGCTCACTAGAAATGTGGACTCTCAGGCTCCACCCCAGGCCTCCTGAATCAGAACCTGTATCTAAGGAAATCCCTAAGTGATTCGTGTACACATACACGTGTGAGAAGCACTCATATAGGAAAAGAACCCTGAGACACAGCAATTTGACAGAACTCAGTCATATAAGTAAGTCAGGGAGCTGAGAAGACATGAAGGCCAATGTATTCTCTTAAACTTCCAAGGGCATCCCTGACCTGGAGGACATTATGGTGGTCTTT